TCTTCCTACAAACATATGCTCTTTCCATGTTAGCACACCGTCAGCAAACATTCTGCCCTTTGTACAAAGGAATGAACCAAAGATCTAAAGATAAACGTATATAATCAACAGCTAATTTACTCTCTAAATTTCACCAACTATATACTATTTCCTCTGTAGCCTTATCCAAAGGTGAGAGGTATTGAAAGTCTTATAATATCTTGAAGTTAAAGAGACCTCTCTCCAAATGCCAGAACATATACCAGCAAATAAATGTTCCTTCTACACACTTCAATATATGACCAACCCATAGGAAAAAAAAAAAAATTAGTCAGGACACACTATAATAAGAAAGTAGCTAAATTCCAGCTGTCACAGGGAAAGAACATAAGGATACTACATAAGTCAGGGAAAATTCATACGCTTACTTTGTTGCATTGCAATTCTAGAAATGGTCCAAGGCCAGGAGCACATCATAATGGTAACTGGATTTGAAAACTGTCTCTGATAGAGAAAGATTTTCATGCATCTAGAAATAAATCCAAGGTCAACTTGGATTGGTTAATCTCTTCCTCAAGTATATTCAGATTTCTCACGAAGAGAGGCTCAAGGTTAAACTATAAAGAGGAATTATAGTATCATTCCTCTCCCAAAGCAAATATGGCTATTACTATTATAGGCTTTAGAAAAAAAAAAAACAACCATCAATCACTAACTGTTTCCAAATACCTAAGGAACTTGACATTGAGATAAATCTTGCTAAGAAATACACAATGAATAAACAACCAGACTCAAGTTTAGACCTCTTGCTTACCAAATTCATTATTTGTTTGACAAGTAAACAAAGAAAGAGGAGCCATATTCCCTGTTCCTAACAAATTTACTATTCAGCAGGTAAAAGCAGTGTTCAAATAATTAACTAGAATATAGTGTAGTGTTACTATTATGCAAGTCATCTGAATAAAGGACTCTTATCCATAAGAGTGCAAAGAATTATTGCTTCCTGTCAACAAGGCTTCACGTTGTTCAGTCTGTGTATATGCATGTGTGTGCTTAAGCTGACAACCACACCAGTGATGAAATTAAGACAGGAGGCTGGCCTCAGCAAAGGCAGAAAAGTAAGGCAGAACAACACAGCCAATTCAAAGAATTAACCAAGGCAGGCAGTGGGGGGGCATGTATATCAAATGGCTACATACGTAAATACCTGAAGTGTTCAAATGAATATCAAAAAGGCAGTAAAGCAAAACTCAATGCCTGAGGGGTGTGAGAAGGCTGTGCTAAACCACAAGACTTGCTCAGTTAAGAAAAGCAGAGGTCCTGAGACTTGGCCAATTGTTGCTGTGCATTAACTTTCACAGCCAAGCCTTCTGATTTTAAGTGATGACAGAAATCCCAATTTTCATCCTGATTTTTACACATTTATTCAATTAATTAAGAACAATTTTAAAAACTTTATACAAGCCAAAGCATAACCTATCTGTAGACAAGCGTCAGCCCAGGGGGTGGAGAATCTACAGCCTTTGATGTTGAATATCAAGTAGAAGAAAAGTCTGGTGAGGTAGGGTAGGAACAGACGTGAAAAACCTTGAATACCATGCTGAAGAGTCTGAAGTCTACAATGACTGAAGGCATCATGAAATAAGATAAGCAGATATATATTTCAATAAAGATTCTCTCAAATGGTTTTTAAGAAATGTTACTGGAAGTATTGTTTGAAATGATTAGTTGGTAGCATGAAGGGCATGGATTATTAAAGAGCATAAAAATGGGGTAGACCAGTTATGAAGTAATAACATTTGTCCAGAAATAATGAAGGCCTAGCTAGCAAAACAAATGAGCTCAGTTTTGGATTGGGATTGGGCAGGGGTGGGGAAGGAGAGTGTTGTGGTTGTGAGAAAAGTAAAAGTGAAAAAAGATGACAATATGGCACATTCAGAGAGAGTGCAGGAGAAAGCTCTGCCCAGTCAGGGTTCCTAATGTGTTAATCTTTCTTGCTTTGTATTTGCCATGGATTTCTAAAAAAATCTGAATTATAGTATCATTCCTCTCCCAAAGCAAATACGGCTATTACTATTATAGGCTTAAAAAAAAAACCATCAATCGCTAACTAACTGTTTTCCAAATACCTAAGGAACTTAACATGTTAACAAGAACAGGAATTCAGTTTGGTCAAGAAGGAAAAAACTATCTTGGGAGTACAAATCACCTTGAATTACAGAATATATTCTTACAAGGATGCCTATAATTCTGGCCTGATCAATCATACAGACACTGACATTGTGAAACTGTTCTGTAAGTTGTCAGTTTTCTTCACTTGACTCTTTTTATACATATGGTATTTTCTTCAAAACTGGTTTTAAAGGAATGCCATTTCCATGAAATAACTTTTTTCTTAACAATTTCGACATTTTATTTCTTAGCAAGATTTACCTCAATATTCTAATTGCTTCAGTTCATAAAATAGCAGAATATTCATATTAACATTTTCAGATCTTTTTCTGTCAAATCAGAAATTTACTTCCTTATTTTTACTAATAATATAATACACAATCTGAGTTACATGTGATACCACATTAAACCACCTCCCTGCCCACAAAAAAAAAAAAAGTGAAATTGAAAATTGCTTCCATAAGGACACAAGATAGGGATAAATTCAAAACCTACTTCCATGCATATGTAGTCACACAACAGAACTTAAAGCTAAGACCCCAGAGTGAGTGAGCTTAACCATCTAATCTTCAAGGGTCCTCTTGGGCCTATCAAGACTAAACGTATGTGATAAGGAGATAGAACAGGGGCTGGGGATGTGGCTCAAGCGGTAATGCGCTGGCCTGGCATGCGTGCGGCCCGGGTTCGATCCTCAGCACCACATACAAACAAAGATGTTGTGTCCGCCGAGAACTAAAAAAAAAAAATAAATATTAAAAAATTCTCTCTCTCTCTCTCTGTTCAGAACCTACCAGAAAAAAAAAAAAAAAAAAAGGAGATAGAACAAAGCCACAGAACCCAGAAGGACAAGAAACAGAAATGGAAAGAAGGATGTAGATGGACACAGGAAGGAGGTGGGTAGAGTTAGCATATATGAATGGGCAAAAGCTAATGCTCTGAAACCAATACAGCCTTTGGCTCTTAAAAACTCTGTTTCTTTTCTACTAGAGAATCCCTCTACTCTACTCCACCAGCACCCCCCACCTGCAAAATTAGTTATATATTGGCTCAATTGTATATTTCTTATCAAAATACAAACAATGCAGCTTAGTCTGGCAAAAATAACATGAAGGATTCATGATGTTAACTTCTACCTCAATGTTACTGAAGCCTATGATATAGTAATGAAACAATTATAGAGGATCTACCAAAAGATAAATACCCTTACATTTATGTATAAACTTTTACCTCAAAATTTATATCTAAGTTGATATAATTGAGAAATATATATTAAAGAACGAATGGTTTAGATATGAAGTATCCCAGAAAAGCTCATATGTTAAGATACTGTAAGAAAGTTTAGAGGTGAAATGACTGTGTAATGAGAGCCTTAACCTAATCAGTACATTAATCCATGGAAAAGTATTAACTGTGTGGTAACTGTAGGTAAGGTGTGACTGGAAGAGGTGGACCACTGGGGGTGTGCTTTTAGAGTTTATATTTTGTCCATGGTGAGGGGACCTCTTTGCTTTCTGATTGTCATGTCTGCTTTCCTCCATGTACACCTTCCTCCATGATGTTCTGTCTCACCTCAGACACAGAACAATGGAGCCTGCCATCTATGGACTGAGACCTTTGAACCTTTGAACACCAAATAAATTTTTCCTTCTGGTCAGTTCTTTTGGTCACAGCAACAAAAAGCTAAATAAAACATCAAGCGAAACAATCAAATGCAAAATAAAAACTACTTCTTATTAAATCTTCAAAGCAGACTCTTTTTATGGTCTAACAGGAAAAAGGGTTAACCTATTATGACAATATATTAAGGCCAATGCCGAGATGCATTTAGAAAAATCAGTATATGACACCTTTGGCAACACTCTTCTCCATCTCACACCCTCAAAGACACTGTCACTCAACTGTAAACTTCTGAAATAAAGGGACCATGTATTATTCATCTTTTATCTTCCACAGTACTTAGAATAGCTTCTGGTATGAGTAGGCCCTTGGTAATGGCTACCAAACTGGTAATTAAAATTCTCCAGAAAACAGAGTTCTCATTCAAAATCAGCCCACAGGCACACTGAGCACTTTTGAACGTACTGCTGTATGTGGGAAGAGAAAGAAGCTTTATAAAAACAGTTCAGGACATGGTGTTAGGTGACTACTCTGCCCCAAAGTAAGACCTAAGGTGAGACCAAAGGATAAACATAGAGGCTAATTTGAGAGAATGCTAAGAAAAAAAACCAGGTGGGTAATTAATGATTATCTCTTGCAGTAAAGAATTGTTTTGGAGATTGGATGCTCTGACTCCTCCACCCCCATTTCAGCACAAAAGCAGGACTCAGAAGGCCATAGCTCAACTGGGATTCACAGTGCAATGGTACATTCATAAATCACTGGGCTGGTTCACAGTATAACTACCACCACCACACCTCTGTTATCTCATCTGCAGTGCTACAAAAACAATTTCTATTTCCCATAAAATGCTAAAGGATCAGAAATCAAAGGTAACAGGAATAGGGTAACAGTCCTCTTCGGTAATAGTCAAATTTTTATTTAAAAGTCATAAGATGTGATCTTCAAATAAAATCTTTAAAATGACCTCAATTATTAACAGGTAAATCAAAACTGTTCTGGTTGTAGCAGGTGGCTTAGAATTCTGCTTAAGGCACTGCCATATAATCACTGTGGTTGCAAAATCTGAAAACTAATGATCTAGTCCAAATTCCTCACCTCACACATGCCCAGGCAGTGAAGGGAAGAACTGAAACTGGAATCCAGGAATATCAACAACCAAACGAGGGCTTTTCTCACTATGTTCCAAGCTGCTTCTAAAAACCAGAGGAAGACACATGATTGATACTTACCATCTTTGTTCAGCCATTGCTTTCTCGTTCTGTACAAAAGGAGCTTATTGTGGACGTAGGGTAAAAGGAACTTGACACACCAGCTCTCCACACCAAGTTTGTTTTCAACCAGGACTATGGGACTTCGGTTATACCTTGCTTCAGGGCATGGGATCAGGCCAATTTCATCTCTTAATATGTAAAACATAAAAAAGAAATAAAGATGGTTTTGGGCTTTTCAAAAATTTCCTAATTCTACAGAATACTTAAAAAAATATTTCCCTTTAAAATATTATTTAGCTTACCTACTAGACTAGTAGAAATAAAAAACAATAACAAAAAACCTCGTGTTGTTGACAATGAAAAGAGTATGGAAAATGAGTATGCTGCACTACTCTCTGTTGACAGGAGTTAAAATTGATACCTTTGGATGGCAATTTGAAAATGTCTTCAAAATTATAAATGCACATTCCTTTTGACCCAACAACTTCACTGCTCAAATGATCCTGTTCTAAAATATACAGATAGGATTTTCACTACAACATTGCAACAAAACAGTAAACAATCTATATGTTTATCAATATAAGACTGGTAAACTAAGAATAGCCCATTCATATAAAAATCGTTAAATAATAACATAGATTTGAATATGCTGATATGAAAAGTTGCCAAGGTATACTAAATGAAATTTTTAAAAAAATGCTAAACACAATGTACAGCACAAAGCCTTTTGTATAATTTCTTTAATAATATACAGATACATTAAAATTTTCCTTGGAAGGATATCAAGAAATTTTTGGAGAAAGAAAGGAATTGAGAAAGAATTTTATTTTTATATTTTAAATTGTTTAGTTACTTATATTACTCCTGTTTTAAAAAACTGCACAAACTGTTTCAGCCTGCCTGCTAATAAATGTATATGGAACAAACACAAATTATCAAAGTTATGTTGTTAGTAAGCCATTTTTCTCCCTTTCTACTCTTCTGAAAACAAAACACCCTAGTAAAAGTCAAAACACAAAATACATTTCAGAATTTGATCATTTTGATTTGTGGTAGCATCAATATCCCTCCTTGACCACAATGTAAGCTGAGATTTAATAAGCAATATGTAGGTCACTTAACTTAACAACATAGTAAACCAGCAAACAAAAAATGTTTTGCTAAACCTATTCTTGCCTACATGAAGCATCCTTTCTCAAATAGAATGACCTTTATTCAATGAATAATGAAAATTCTTATAACAAGAGTAGTTGAAATAAATAATGCTTAGTATCTATGAATTTAAAAAAAATTATCGTTGTAGATGGACAGAATGCCTTTATTTTATTTGTTTATTTTATTCAGTGCTAAGGATTGAACCCAGTGCCTCACACGTGCTAGGTTCTGCCACTGAACTACAGCCCCAGCCCCTATAGATTTTTAAAATGTGTCTTTAAAAAACAGAATGAAAAACTAGGTTTCAGAGTTTGTGTATGGTATAAGTCCCTGGGATTCCCTTGCCAAGAACATAGTTATTTGATAGACTACTATAGGGGGCAAACCCGTTCAACTGCAGGTTTTAAGAAAAAACCAGTTTTGTTAGCTCATCATCACAAATTGGTAAAGGGCTGTGGATCTAAAATAAAATCCCTCCTGGAAACTCTAAACTAGAGAGCTCAGAGGCAACCTACTTTCTACTGATCACTTCATTAGCAACACAGGGATATATCAATAAACAAGGGTACCCTAGGGGATGCAAGTCACTACAATTCTAACTAATTTAACTCTTGAGAAGCTTGTGGGACCTAAGATTTTTTTGTCCTGACTTATAAGTTTGGTAGATTCAAAGGTGTTCTAATATGCCATGTCAATACTATCATACTTTTTTCCAAGTACCTACAGTGTACTGAGTACTATGTTAGATTCTGAAAATGCAAATAAGAATTAAAAAGTGGTCCCAGACATAAAGAGATAAATTTTTTGAAAAGTTGTGTCTGAATCTATAATAAAATGTTACCACTCTGTCATTCCAGTTATATAAATAAAATTACGTAGGAAGAGCGGGGACAATGCTAAAAAGGCATCTGAGGATAATGTCCAGTATTTCAATATGTTTTGCATTTATACTTGATATTAAGCCAAAATGTGTCTAATTCATTCTTAGAACAACTAGACACATCTTGTATACTTGAGTAATATATGACAATTGACGGTACTCAGGATTACCATACAAAGTAGAATATAAAAAATAAGCTAAAATTAGTAAAAGAAAAAAATCCTTCAATCTTAACTATTCAGAAAATTCTGTTAAGATCTAATAACTACTTAAAAAACTTCAAAGAACTGCAGGAGTCAAAAACATGTTATAGTAACAACTTAAAAAAAAATCCTGGCTTCTGGTATAATCTGTTACGGGGAAGCGATTTTGGTTTTTTGGTTTTAAACTTAAATTCAAAATGTAAAAATCTGCCTTGTTCACTAGCTGTACCAAAAATAAAATGCCCAACTACCTAAATTATAGAACAAAGACATCTGCACAATTAAAAAACACGTTGCTTTGATTGACTACCCTTCTTTTAAGAAATACTTTCAAAACACAAAAATGCCTTGGAGATATCAGGTGCTTAAAAATTGCTTAGTGAAAGGCTGATTATCCTTGCACATCAGCGATTATTCAAATACATAATTTACAAATGTTATAACTTCTTGACCCTCCAAAGAAACATTACCCCTGATTGTCTAACATAGTGTAATGAAAACAGCATGGGTCAAATGTCACTTTCACCTCTCAGACCTCAGTTTCTTCATTTGTAAAGAGGTAGAATTGCATTATACCTTTAGTAAAGGAAATGAGTTGGTCTCATCCAGTTTTCAAATTTTATGACAGAAAAAGTCAGCAGCTATTTGTATGTAAGACTGAAAACAATCATAATAAATAGGGAAAAAACACAAATACATGAAAAGAGAGGTAGTAAGTAACATGTACAGACAAAAGCACTCGGTGGAAAGCCCAAGATTGTAATTGGTCTACCAATGACAATTAATGTGAATCTGCTAAGTCACTTGACATCAGGATCTTCATCTGAAATACAGGGAAAATAATGTCTTCCCTGTTATAAAAACAAAGTGATACAATGTGAAGAATGTGGTAAACTACCAAGTACTAAGCAAAAATGAAGTATGTTATCATTAATTCATTTAAGAGTCTGAGGTCAGCCAGTGAAGTTCCTTGGTTAACAGTAATGAGAAGTTGAGGAAAAGAATATTAAGCCTTTGCCAAGTTATCTGACCCTTATATACAGTGATTTTGATGTTTTCTAAAAAAAAAAAAAAAAAAAAAAAAAAGACATTTACTTTATAGGCAGGTCAACCTATCAGTTTCCAAATAACAGTTTGATTTCAGACTTCTGTGCCTAGTCCCTTAGGTCATAGTCCACTTTTTTTCAGACAATTTAGAACAGGATCCCAGAATCATTCTAAAACTGCAAGGGACCTCATTCTAGTCTCATTTTATCAGATGAGGAAACTGAAGTTCAATGGGGTTAAAGGGATTACCTAAGGCTAGCAGCTAAATTAAGAATCTGGGCCTCCTAATACTTAGATCAAACCCCTGGCAGTAGAGTGAAAAGCAAAATAGAATTTAGACCAATTCTTTCTAGAGTTCTGGCAGCTTAAATTCTAATTTCATATTCAAGGAAAAGGTGTGAAAAAACCCCCCCAAACCTAAAAGCAATCTGTCATCTCTCTACCATTATTAATGTCTGGGTACTCACCCCCGCCCCTTTTTCTCCCTATGTATTTTACAAAAAGTGAAATACTGGACATAATTCTTTTTAAATAAAACTTAGCAATTCACATTAAACGTTTCCCTACGTAATTAAATTATATTTTAATGGCTATAATGAATGTACTATAAATATCAAATACATTTCTGGTTATTTCCTCACAAAACAGTCTTAAGGGTTCCACTGGCTTCCTGATGAAGTTCAAGGTTCACATAACATGGCTATTGACTTTGATCCACACTTAGTTTCTGTTGTCTGTACTCTTCAGAAACATCATCAGTCAACTAGAATAAATTCACATAGTATTTACTAAAGTATTGACCAGCTTCCCTCTTAGAAAGGATGGACAATCTCCAAATACTAAATCTGAACCCTTGTAATGTTGCATACTGAACAGAAAACAGCCCAAGTATTCAGAAAATGGCACATACCTTTTTAATCTAATAATACTTTGGTTTCTGTTATTCTTTTTTATTAATGTGGAGTTCTTTCCACAAAGACCAAATAACAGTAAAATATCTAATGACTCTTGCCAACTGATAACTGAAACTCTACTAGTGATTAAGATACTTCAGAGACTTCCCAGACTTTCTCATTGGACTATCAACTTTGTATGTCACTAAAATTACATTACAACTCTTAGAAAAAAGCTACACAAATGACTACTGTGTATTGTTTATTACATAGTTGTATTAGGTTTTACATGATTTCTTTTATTCTGCACAATAATCTTGTACAGCAAAAACTGATTCTCATTTTACAGATGAGAAAACAGTCTTGTTTATGCAGTCAGTAAATAAATGTCTCTCAAACCCTATAACCAAACTTTTACAAGGATACTACTGTTTAAACAAAATTTAAATATAAAATCCTAACACAAGATTGTAGATCCTGGCCGGGCGTGGTGGCACATTCCTGTAATCCCAGTGTCTTGGGAGGCTGGGGCAGGAAGATTGAGAGTTCAAAGCCAGCCTCAGCAAAATCAAGGCACTAAGCAACTCAGTGACACTCTGTCTCTAAATAAAAACACAAAATAGGGTTGGGGATGTGCCTCAGTCATAGAGTGCCCCTGAGTTCAATCCCTGGCACCAATAAAAAAAGAAAACTTTAGATCTTTTGGTTTCCTATTCTTCAATTCAATTGGCAGACAATTTAAAAGTGCCTGTCATTACTATTTCCTTACAGATTTTCACTGGGATCTGCTTAGAAGTATACTTTCCCAAACCAACTATCCTTCATCCCTCACTTCTCAATTTATTAATTACTATTTCCTCAGAAAGAAACATCTTGACCTTCTAACCTAAGTAAGGCCTCCCTGTTATTATTCTTTCAAAACATTCTTTATAATTACCCTTTCTGCCTCTTTTCATAATCTGTATACTGATTTGTTTTAAGTTCCACTGAGGGACAGGAATCCATGTCTGGCCTGTTGACAAACTGACACCCAACTCCTAGTCTACTATCTCCAGAAACAAGCATTGTGTCTGTCAAAAGAGGTGCTCTTTTGCAGAATATATGAATGGAATGAAATAAATTCAACCTGATAGTTAAAGACTTTCATGATCTGTCTCTTCAGTAGCTTCTCATTTTGCTACTGTTGGTTATTTCTCTGCTCTTAGAACATCTTAGCCTCTGAGACTCTAAATCCTAACCAGACTTCAATTAGCTTAAAACCCACCTCCCCTAAGAGCCCAGATATACCCAGCCTCCCCTCTACTTCTAACACTCACAGTATGTACTTACCATACTATTAATACAGCCTTTACCATTAACTGCTTTGCAAGGTTACTTTACTGTTCAAGCCTGTAGATCTTAGGCCTTCATTTAGATCTAGACCATGCAGTACAGTAGTCACTGGACTTATGAGGCCATAAATCAACTTAAAGCAAAAAAAAAAATTTAAATTTGATTAATCATTCACATTAGGCTAATTTCAAGTGTTTGACAGTTACATATGGCTAGTATGGCACAGATACAGAACATTTTCATCATCAGAAATTTCTGAGTGCCTTCAGTCCAAGAAATATTATTTTATACATCTTCCTATTCCATACAGTGAAGATGGTACCTTTAGCACCTCAAAACTGTTAACAGTTAATACAGAAAAATACTATTATTCATAACTTTAATGTGACCCTGATTACACTTTAAATAGCTGTTTTCCACATTAATATAAGGTCTGTATGTTGGGATAATGCCTGTCCCTAGATCAAGCCTTTAGTTACAGAGAATGAACAAGGATTCTCTAAGAGTCAACTAATGAATATAAACAAAATTTGCCAGGTTATTTTCCATTTTATAAAGTATTTCATATTCACCATTCATTTGGTCACTATATTTTCAGCAAAGAACACAGAGATTCAGGTTGAGTCTAGAATTTGCCTAATGGCAACTAAGTAAGACTGTGTGAGATGATTTTCTTGTGTTCTCATTAGCCTTACAAGATCAAGAGGAAACTGAGGCTGACAATGGGTAATGAATCCACATCTCACTTACTGTACCTTTGACTATTCCTGATTAGCTATTCTATGTAGGCAAAAGTCAATATATTCAAAGGAGTAGATGTCGGCAAACAAAATTATAATCTACCTTGTATTTGGAAAAAAAAGGAAAACAAAAAGAATAAAACTTTTAAAATATTGTAATTAGATACTAATGTGAAAGGTAACAACATTCTTCCTTTTTAAAATAAATACATAACCCCTTATTTGGGGAGTAAAATGGCTAAATTACAGAAACAGGTACCAGCAATTTTAAAAAGCCCAAATTATAAGAAATTTTAAAAGATGCATTATAATATTATTGAAGTTATTTTTACTGTAAGAAATATGTGCTAAAATACAGCTGCTAATATTAAATAAGCTAATGAAGCTATTTAAATGTCTCAGATCTGTTACATACCATTATTTCAAATTATTTCAGACACCTAACTTATCACTAACTTTTAAATCCTAAATGACCCCGATGCTTATTAATAAAATTTTAAGTTGCATACTGGTACAGGATATTTTAATGACATTTCACAGAAAAATATGAAGGGAAGGTTTGTATTTTTAGGACTTAAAGGGTTTAAGTCCTTTATGAATTTTGATAAATATGATCCAGAAGAATTGGGACAAGTTCCAAACTGCACTGTGTCAACCTGCCAAACCCATTAACACTCAATCAGAAATAGTCTGTTTTTTTCAAATAGAAAATGATACATTTAGTCTACCTCAAACAGAAACTAAGGTGATTACTATATTTATTAGACTCCTAATTCTGCTCCAATTTCTTCTAGAAAAATAACACCAGTGACGAGAAAATAGGATCTTCATTAGTCCAACTTGTTTTTGAGGGTGTGTCTTATTTGTACTGAAGCTCCCAGTTTCAAATAAGGATTGAAAGGCTGACATGCAACCAGGCATCAAAGCATTCTTTACAAAGCCCAGCAACCACTATGGTTACTGCCAGGAAGTCATTCCAAATACTGATTTTGAAAAAGGCAACAGTCATAAATGAAAGGAAGGGTGTCCTGTCAGAGGTGGCAGGTGTGTTTTGAGGCCAGCAGTGTTTTGTTTTTAATGAGGCACAGTTGCAGGTGTCCAATTGTGTGCCACAAGGGAGCAAGACATCTGAGGGCTTCTTAATTCTTTTAGCATCACCTTGGAGGAAAAGAACACTTTGTTAAAATGTAGGTTTGGTACTTCTTTTAGGCAGAAAAGCTGAAGGGGTGGAACACTTAAAAAGAATAATTCATGTGCTCCAGTTTAAAGGATAAAATATTTAAAATAAAACTCCATAAACAATTAAAGTGAAAATAATGCAAAACTGCATTCTTTGTTTCTTTCTGTGGGGATGAGGAGGGATGCAAAAGGAACTACACTCTTGCTTCTCCCTCACTCTTGTACAATGTTGTAGACAACTCTTTTTAATAGCTTCCTTTTCACTAGTTAAATAAAGGAAAAGTGTCAGAATGCGTACAGTCTTGTGGTATCTTCCCAGAGTGCTGGAAGCAAAATGGAAAGGAAGTTCCAGGAAGAGATAACTTGTCTGTCAGTCCTGTAATGTCCGGTTAAAAGGGCAGCAGTGCTAGGATAAAAATTAGTTATTATGCTTCCTTGTAACTATGAATCATATTATGCTAAAAAGTGTCGAGGTTTGATAGCTTTATCCCAGAGTACATGATGCTTACAGGCTCACTCTTCAAAAAGCTCTGTTAACCTTCGAAACCCAATGTTTCATTGGAGTCAATTTACAATCTTGTGATGAGCAAAGCTGAAGTCAAAAGCAGCCTCAAACTACCTTTACTTAGTAAACTGACGGGGTTTTGGCCCGTTAAGAATAAGAAGATCGGTAAGCCCTGTTAGCAACAGCCGGGATGTAGCTGAAAGAGTTGTACCTACAAAGCACACAGAGAGCCACACTGTTGTGTGTACCCATGTACCTTAAACGCATGTAGGTTGAGAACCTAAAGGTGAAGTCATTCAAGTTCCGAGAACTCCTGGGAAAGGATGGGGACAGAGTGTCAAACAAAGTCGTTCCTTCTTGATTTTCCAGGTCATTTCTAATAGACTCGCCTGCCAGCTCGTCCGGACACCCAGAAAGCCGGCCCCCCGGGCAGACGGGTCCGCCCGACCTCGCTCAGCCTCCTCGGAAGGGCGCGTGGGCCAGAACCCGCGGTCCGCCCGCCGCCCGAGGTCGGCTCCAGGAGTGGTCCCGCTCCCGCCCGCCCCGACGACCCCCGGTGGCGGAGGACAGGCGCGACTCACATGTGCGGGTTCCTCCTAAAGGCGTTGGTGATGTCCTTCACCACTCGCTGCACCAGCACCGCCACCTCCTCGTTTGTCTCGGCCATGTTGGCGGCGGCCGCGGCAGTTCGAGCGCGCCTCCGGGAAAGCAGAGCCGCCGGCGGGAGTTCCGCGGGGAGCGCGCGCGCGTGCGCCAGTTTGGGCGCGCCGCTGCCGCCGAGCACTTCCGGGTCAACCCGCCCGCGGCCCGGGCGTGGTGCCCGCTGGGTTGGCGGCCCCCAGAGATGGGCAGGTGGGTTTACCTCCGTTTGGGTAAACGAGTTTCTAAACCTTGGAGAAAACGCTGCAGATTGGCTTGCAAAGTTACCTTAGGCTGTAGAGGGAGGGTCCCCAAAATACTCTTCGAGGGACAAACGCGTGCGCCCCCACGCCCTCCGCCAGGTGCCCCAGAGCTCCTGGAGCAAAGTTGAACAGAGAAGGTGCTGGTCCTTTTGAACAGCTAGTCCCGGGGCGTTTCGAAGGCTCCTGGCTTTCTTGTACCTACTCGAGGAAGACCAAAGACGTCGCGGCGGAATGAGTTCGCTTGACCGTGGTGGTGACCTGCTTTTGTACCGTGTGCCAATTTGGGCTTGTGAATTTCAAAGCAGCCTTTCAAACGGGTTAAAATTTTTAAATTAATGCGTGAAAAGAAGACAAGAGAAAGGGGGAAAAAAAAAAAGCCCTCTGGATCTAGGAAGAAAAAGTGAAAATTTTTTTTTAGATTTTCTACTTAGAGCGTAGAAAATTAAAGGCCTGACAGTTTGCTTAAAATAGCTCTTTTTCGTGCTACAAATAATTTTTGTAGGAAAAACCGAGCTCTGTAGTCCATTTCGATTTTGAAATGTCATAATTAAGGTTTTGTGCATGCCTTTCTGTGATAGAAAAATCTGGTTGTCTTTAGTTCACTTTTTTTTTCTTTCACCCTTGAAATCTGTGTCTCTTAAAAACTTTTTTTTTTTTAAGCAAGCTCGTGGTATGTGATGTGGCACTTGAGGTAGAGTTTATGATGGTGAAAGTAATTCATTGGTTGTGAAATGAATTAAGAAATAAAAATTAACTGTACCCGGTAGTCCATATATCATGTAAGTATGTTTGTAAAGGCATTGGCCTTTTGGTTTTTATTAAAGCAAAACTGAAGTTTGACACAATTGCAGAAAACAAGATGAAACAGGTTTAAGAAGTAGTAACATCAAACAAACCTTACCCTCTGGCAGGTTCTGGAATGAAAGAGTAAAATGAGTGGAATGTGTGTTTAGATTCCAGGGCCAAGACAACTTCAGATATCCTGGCTACTTAAAGAATAACAGCTCTCAAATGTTTTGAGTTAACTGATGAGTCTTGCTTCTTAATCAAACAAAACCTTACATCCTTTTCTAATGACAGTGGGAAATAAACCCTGACTTCTGGGGCAGAGTTCAAAGCAGCATACCCAGAAATAAGAATTTTTTCCAAAAAAGTTTGTTTTTAATTTTAAGTTAGTGAGATTTTTGTTTTTCATTCCAATAATATATGTATTTGTATTTTACAGAAAAACTCCAAACTTAGATCCCAAGTTTTGAAGTGCATATACATATGTCTTCTTTGTACTCATTTGAAAGACATGGTTCTTGTAAGACTTCAAAGAATTGTTTTACCCAATTATTAAGGACCTACTATGTGTAGAACTCAATTTTTTTTTTTTAAGAACTGGGAATGTATTAGAATTCTGATCCACCTCAATGTACAGATAAGGACTGAGATTCATGAGCTCTTGGATATGTATAAGAATAGGAGATGATGGATTCTGGTTACCTGTGGCTATAATCCCCACTATTAAAGGATGGGCAAGTTGGAGGCCAGCCTGAGCAACTTGGTGAGATCATGTCTGAAAATTTTAAAAAGGGTTGAGGATGTGGCTCACTGGTAGAGGGCCTCTGGGTTCAGTGCATAGTACCACCAAAAAATATAATAAAAAAGAATAGGATATGGATTTTTGGATGATTTTCTTGAAAAACTATTCAGGGGTTTCAAAACATTTATTGATAATGATGAAACATAGTAAATAGCTTAAATGCTCAATGATAGGGTATTGATTAAATTATGGTAAATTTGTATGATAAATTATTATTTAACTATTTAAAAATTCCATTATAAGTGATGACTGTACAGTTGGATATCCATAAGCCTAGATTCCACATCTGTGGTTGGTTGAATCTAAAATTTCAAAGTATACAGGAAAAAAATTGTGTCCCAAAAATGTACAGACTTATTTTTGTCATTCCTTAAACAACATAGTATAACAGCAATTTATATATCATTTACATTCTGTTAGATAAAATATATAGCAGGATGCGCATAGCTTATATGAAAATGCTGTCAGTTCATGTAAGGGACTGGTGCATCCACAGATGTTGGAGTCTATGGAGGTCCTATAGCCAATCTCCTGGGCAAAGAACAAGAGTATGTTACCTTTGTTAACCGGTGACGAGTCCTTGCTTCCTCATTGTTGAAGTATAACACCAGAGAAGCAGACGGAGGCAAGTTTAGAGTGGAAAGTAGAGGCTTTATTAAAGGACAGCAGAAAAGACTTCTCCCAGAGGAAGAATGGGACCCAAGAGGTGGAATCCGTGGAAGGGCGAATGTGTTCCCCTTTTATAGCTAAGGTCTTCATCTAGTTTTTCCCCCTATTCCTGTCCTTTGTTCTGTTATCTTTCAGTGATGGAATGTAGGTGGGAAGGCCCGAAGGGTGGGGCACAGGTGGGCCAAAGAAGTAATCTGGGCAGGAAGAACTTTTGGGTTAGCATCTTCAAGTTTGCCAGGAGCTGTTTCATTAACATTTCTTTGGGATGGGTTCTGGGCCTTGAGGACATTAACATTCCAAGAGTTGTTCTGCTTTTCCCAGACTTCATTCTCAACATGGCCTTCATTTTGGATTTTACTGGATATTAGACCTGATTTACCTAACTACACTGACTACCTATCTTTAAATCTGGTTTCAAGTACATTCCAAAGTGTTAGGGAGAAGTATATTCACAGGGGAATTTTAATTTCTAAATAAGGCAAAAAAAAAAAACAGTAATTTTTATAATTTAAAGCTTTTTAAAGTTTATATTAATAAAGACATATGTATGCATATATATGTATGTGTGTGTGTGTGTATATATATATATATATATATGCCAGCCATCTCATGCATTTGTTTTAGTACAAGGATTGAACTTGGGAGCACTTGACCACCGGGCCACATCCCCAGCCCTTTTTTGTATTTAGAGACAGGGTCTCACTGAATTGCTTAGTGCCTTGTCATTGCTGAGGCTGGCTTTGAAAATATATATATATATATATATATATATATATATATATACCCCTCACCCACAAAAATACACTTTCCACATTTTAGAAAACTAATTGATATTGGGGAAAATGTAGATATGTAATAAGAAAAACTGGTACCAGAATAGTATTCAATACAATCCTAATTTCATATATACAATACACATTGTACATAATATAATCATGTATGCATAAAATAGACTGGGACAATATAAAATGTGAACAATGATTGTTTCTTATAGAATTATTGGAGATAATTGAGACCTATAAATATGTGTTCTCTATACTTTTCTGGATGTTCCAATCTTTCTACAATGAAAATTTTGATGTATGTAATAAGGGCCAGAGAGGAAAGAAGGACACAAAGATGGTTTTAATGACTTTTCAGAAAATATGGGAAATGACCTTGAAATCTGTTTGCATCTCTGTATTATTCTACTGACATCACTATGACATGTTTATGTATGTACTCCATTATTTTTATTTGAATTCCACCTTCTGATAACATTATACAAGACAATTCAAATAGTGCTAAATGTGTTCTTATTATGTATTCATACTATTATAAAAACAGCAAGCTTTTATCTCCTTTAAAAGAATTAAGTGCTCAGTTTTAAATAGTTTATTAAAATGTTGCCATTGTGATTCTATATTATAGTGTATCCTATCCACTATCCTAAAATCTAAAATCAAAGAACTTACTAGCAAAGAAATAATAGCTGGAAAATGTATATATTTAAAAGCATACATCAAATGCAGGGACAATTAATATATCTTTGTCTTGGTGTGTTAATTTATTTCCCTGAATACAAGATTCCAGGTATAAGAACTATTTTTTTTAAGTCTCAAAACACCCATGAATGCTAATTCCATCTATTGTTATGCCTAGTTGACATCTCCATCACTTTATTTTTCCACTTGTTGGCATAAAAATAGGAAAATACATGTGAGAGTATCTTTAAACTGAGAAGCATACAAATTATTACTTTTTCTATGATTACAGAAAGCATTATGACTAGTCAGTTTTAAAACACAGTAAATTAAGACTAAACTAAATATTTTGGATATGAAACTGTTCTCTACTATTTCTAAAGACAATTCTTATACTGCAATTATAATTTAATTTCCTAGTTAAAGGATGAACTTTCTTTAACCTGACAAAGTAGGTAAATATTATCAAGATGATAATAATGAAGATGACTTTAAATGACCAGTTTTGCCTATGTTAGATCCTAAGAGTAAAGATACTAGTTACATAATTTTTTTTTTTATTATTTAGTGATGTTTTATTTTCCTAGACATTTAGTAGTTCCAAAATGTCATCCTTTTCCTTTGTTCAGTTCTTCCTTTCTACCACAGAGGCTCAAGAGACCCATGATGTATTCTTTAGAAAAGTACTGAAAAAAAAAAAATGACTAGAGAGAAAAAGAGCCAATCCAGGACCTGCAGATGAAAACAGATAGGAAGAGTGTACCTCCCCATGATGCAATGAATGTTTCTCATGTACTGAAAATGTCAAACTGTCATAGGAATTTCCTTAGTAACATACTTTTTAATGGATAACGAAATAAAATTTTATCTTAATTATGACAGATGAAAACCATAGACTTAGATTCAAAATTCATAACTAAAAATTTAAAAACGTGTGGGAGCTTCATTTTGACTGTTGAAGAGGTTTAGTCTGAGAACTGGTATCTGACTAAAAATAAAGGCTATACCTCCTATTCTCTTTTCTAAAGTCAATTGTTTAATTCAGATAAATTGTGATGAAAATACACCATATTTCTCAGCTTATGTCTATTTCCATATTGTAAGCCACCTTTGAG